GCTGCAGTGCACGCGCCGGCCGCGGGCGCCCCCTGGCGGCTGCACATCGCTGTCCCTTGCACCAAGCTTCTTGAGCTGACAGCCACACCCAGCAGGCTGCCCTGGGGATGCTGGCCCAGGTCCTGCTCCCCGACCCCCGCGCGGTCCTCAGGGTGGCGGGAGTCACAGGACTCGGGAGCGTCTCATCCAGGGAATTGCATGCATGTAATGCGACAAGCGTAAAGGGTCGTGGAGACCGTGGAAAGCCTGAGCGGAAGCACCGCACAGCTGGGGAAAGCCCTTCCCCGAGGTGCGCCTGTCTTTATGTGGCGTGGAGACCCCCATCCCCCGCTGGCAGATGGGAAGCAGCCCTTGAGGGCAAGCAGGCGGCAAGGTTCCCTGGCTGCCACTGGAAGCTCATGTAGGTGGAGGAGAGCTGGAAAAGCCGAGGGCCGAGCAGCCAGCTTTCTGCCCCCAGGCCGCCTGGGTGGGAAGGGCACCCCTGGCCTGGGCGGCCCGCGCACAGCAGGGTGCTCTACCCCGTGCTAAGTGGGTGCTGGTGAGCTTGGAGGCTCCTGAGTGAGTAGTTCCCTCCCCTCACCTGTCCCGGGTAGAATAAAGCAAGCCTGGAAGTAGAAAGCTGATTTATTTATAAAGGAGAGTAAGGAGCAGGGGAGGCTGCAGGACCCTGAGCTGCGTGTGGGCCAGGGCCTGAGCTGGTGCAAACAAGGTTCCACCTCGGGAGGAGCAGGTGTTCCTTACCAGGGATGGAGACACAGCTCAAAGCGGGGACCCCAAAAGGGGGAGGAGGACTGGAAGATGCCAGCATCTGTGCCCCGCTTGATCCGAAGGCTCTCGGTCACCTAAGCACACACGTGCACACACTGCTCATTGGCTTGAGTTTTCCCCTTATCCGGGAAGAAAAGGACTCACTTTGCCCCAGACTGGTAGCTCCCCCACCCACCCTGCTGGACATTCCTTCCACTTCTCCAGGCAGGGGCACATTCGGGGACTCCTGAGGCCACACACGACCTCTGAGCACAGCCACCTGGGCCACGCTGGGGTGGAGGGGCGGAGGCAGCCAGTGACAGCACGGGTGTGGGCACCAGGCAGAGCCCTGGGCAGGGGACCTAGAAGTTCTCGTAATGGTGGGAGAAATGAGTCCGGTCCTGCCTGTTAATGAGCTGACAGGCCTTCTCCACGTTCTTGGTCATGCCTGGGGGGCCGCAGCTGAACACCCCGATCTTCCGGACCTGTAGCAGGAGGAAGCAGTGTAGCAGGCCCAGCACCCTGATCACGCAGAGACCAGGAAGAACCCCCCGCCCGTGTCCTGGGGCTGGGTCAGTATTAATGGCGACGTGGCCGAGTCTATAGTGAGGACCGGCTGGACTGTTCAGCTCTGCCGTTGGATAGAGCCTCAGAGCTCCGAGAGCTCCCCTCCATCCTTTTCCATCCACTTCCCCTCCTGGGTCCCGGGGCACAGATTCTCAGCAGTGGCCACTTGGTAGGTTGGGGACCCCGGATCCAGCCGGGCTGTGGCCAGACCGACCTGCGGGTGCACCTCCGTCAGGGAGTTGAAGAAGGCCTCGAAGGGGGGCCGGCCGAAGTGGGTGACAGAGCGCAGGCCGGTGAACAGACTCCGGTTCAGCACCTTCTGGAAGTGCCGCTCACAGATGTACTGGGAGGGACAGGGACC